AGAGAGAAACATCGATGTGAGAGAAACACATCAATTAGTTGCCTCCTGCACGAGCCCCGACCAGGGCCTGGGCTGGAGAGGAGCCTGCAACCGAGATACATGCCCTTGACTGGAATCGAACCCAGGACCCTTTGGTCTGGAGGCCAACGCTCTATCCACTGAGCCAAACCGGCTATGGTGAAAGCATGGTCTTGAAGAGATATTTGAACATCATGTTCATAGCAGCATTATTTACAATAGCTAAAACATGGAAACAACCCAAGAGCCCATCAGCTGGTAAGTAGACTAACATTGTGGTGTGTATACACAATGAAATACAGGGGTGGGCAAAAGTAGGTTTACAGTGGTTCGTATGAAAAAGTATGTAATACAAGAATAAATTCCGTGTTTCATGTATTCACAACTGTAAGCCTGCTTTTGCCCACACCTGTATTATTTAGCCTTAAAAACGAATAAAATTTTACAACATGGATAAATTTTGAGGACCTTATGCTAAATGAACAAGCCAGACACAAAAAGACAAATACTATATGATTCCATTTGTTTGAGATACCTGAGTAGTCAAATTCATAGACACATATAGTGGGATGGTGGTTGCCAGTAGGTAGGAGGGGTAGAAAGTGGGGGGTCATTGTCCAGTGGGGACAGAGTTTCAGTTTTGCAAGACAAAAAAGTTCTGGAGATCTGTGTCATAGCAATGTAAATGTGCTTAATATCTATGATTATGGTAGATTTTTAAAAAATGCTCACGGAGAGAACTTAATGATCTGAGAAAGTAGAAAGACAAGGAAGCCGGGAAGTCCTTGCTCTTGGGAAAGAGGGAAGGAAAGGTATGGTTCCAGGGAAGGAAGAGTGAGGTGATGTGCAGGTGATACAGGCAGAGTGGGGGCTGGGACCTGGTGGGAGAATCTGGGCCAGGATGTGAACGTCCTCCCGCTATGACAGCAGCGGGCCCCCAGAAAGCTTTGGAGCAGGGTCCGGCCCTTCCCGAGAGCTGCCAAGCAAAACCAAGGTCTCTTTGTCTTTCAAACTCATCACCTTGACTGCAACGTTGCTAACTGCAGACCCACCCATCCCCACTTACCTACCTCCCGATCCCCTGCGATGGGGAGGCAGCCCTGGCTGAGTATTGAGCCCTTCCTGGCTGGGATGTACAGACAGGCCTCTCCAGTGGGCCTGGAAAGCTCAGGAGGTAGGTTCCCAGGCTGACGGTAGCCCTGCTCCCAGGGGACACCACTCCCCAAGTATGGGACATGGCCCTCATGCACTCAGGATGGCTGGAGCCCAGAAACCCCCTGGGGTTGTCACAGGCCTGCAGGCCACGGTTCTCAGAACTCCATGGAATCTCTTGAGGTCAAAGGGCCAGACTGTCTATTTCAGAAATGACTCTTCCTTCCGAGGCTGTGTCACGGATGGCCACCGTCACTGGAGAAATGTCTATTGCAGTGATGGCGAAACTTTTGAGCTCGGCCTGTCAGCATTTTGAAAAACCCTAACTTGCCGAGACCGGTTTGGCTCAGTGGATAGAGCATCGGCCTGCGGACTGAAAGGTCCCAGGTTCGATTCCGGTCAAGGGCATGTACCTGGGTTGCGGGCACATCCCCAGTAGGGGGCGTGCTGGAGGCAGCTGATCGATGTTTCTCTCTCATCGATGTTTCAAACTCTCTATCCCTCTCCCTTCCTCTCTGTAAAAAATCAATAAAATATGTTTAAAAAAAACTTAAAAAGAAAAAAAAAGAAAAACCCTAACTTAACTCTGGTGCTGTGTCACATATAGACATTTTTTGATATTTGCAACCGTAGTAAAACAAAGACTTATATTTTTGATATTTATTTTATATATTTAAATGCCATTTAAAAAAGAAAAAAATCAACCAAAAAAATGAGTTCGCCTGTCACCTCTGACACTCATGTCATAGGTTCGCCATCACTGGTCTATTGCCTGGGCAGGTGGAGGGGTGGGAAGTGGAGGGGTGCCACAGCCTCCAGAAACATTTGGACTCCCAGGAGAGAGCTGTAAGAAGCCTAACTGCCCTGAACCCTCACCTGAGGGAGGAGGCCCACCTACTCTGGTGGTGGAGTTGCTGGGACCAGAACCACAGAACCCCAGGCCTGGCTCCCTCACCAAGCCTCTCCTGAGAATCCTACTTTCTGCATTTATTTACTTAGGGTATCATCAAAGCCCCTGAGATGAGGTGGAAGGCTGGGGGTCTTCCAGGCCTCCACCACCATCCCCTGTCCCAGAACAGGCATCCCCAAACCTGCCTAAATCCCCACATCTTTGAGATAAAGTCCAAGTTCTCAAGGTTCTGTAAAAGGTGGTCTCCACTGATTCTTCTCTTTCGTCTCCCAGGCTCTTCGCCCAGCCCTGCAGCTCTCCTGAACTTTCCAAACTCCCTTCCCCAGACGCCGCTCAGCTGTCCCACTTGCTATGCCTGCTTCCTTCTCCTCGCTGCCTCATAGCCTGTTGTTCCTTCGTAAGCAGGGAGCTGCCCCAGAGTGACCGGCAGCCTGTCGCAGCCTGCTCTGCTCCCATGGGATGGGCTGTGTGCCCTGTCAAGAGCGGGGAGCCTTTCTTATGGGCCTCTTCCTAGTTTCCAGCACCATAGCCACGCAGGCTGATACATGTTGATTGAGAAAATGAACACAGGAGTTTTCTGCCCACTTTTTATGGTTAATTCACCCAAAGGCTCTAGAGCAGCGGTTCTCCACCTGTGGGTCTCGATCCCTTTGGGGGTTGAACGACTCTTTCACAGGGGTCGCCTAAGACCATCGGAAAACACATATATAATTACATATTGTTTTTGTGATTGATCACTATGCTTTAATGATGTTCAATTTGTAACAATGAAAATACATCCTGCATATCAGATATTTATATTACGATTCATAACAGTAGCAAAATGACAGTTATGAAATAGCAACGAAAACAATTTTATGGTTGGGGCTCACCACAACATGAGGAACTGTATTAAAGGGTCGTGGCATTAGGAAGGTTGAGAACCACGGTTCTAGAGCATGGCCTTGACCTTCCACAATGGGTCCCTGAGTGCCAGCAGCCTGACCTATGTTATCTTATGCGATTCTACGGCGCAGGTGTTAACATTTCCATGTTACAGATAAGGAACTGATGAGAGGTCCCATGACTGCCCACTGCTGGGAACTGGCGCAACCAGGACTGGAACCCAGCCTGGCCAGCCTGGCTCCTGCTACCCTGGCCTCCCAGTACTCTGTGAGTGGGGAACAACGTGTGCCCACAGGCTTCAGGGGAATTCTCCACTCTGTCCACCCCTCAAACCTGTGCTTTGAGGAAGATGGGGGAGAGGTAGAAAGAGTGGCATCCAGATCTGATGGCAGTAAGAGGCCACGAGTCTGGGGGACCTTAGGAAAGAGATCAACCTGACCTGTTATCCCCGATGCCTAGCCTTGCACCCTAAGCACAGGGGGGGACTTAGCACACATAGTCAAACAACCCTTAACAGGTGGCTGGATGAGAGAGAGGTCAACATGCCCTCGAGAAGGTCTTCTCCATTCTGCCCAGCTTCTAGAATGATCCAGGGAAAGCCCCAGGCCTGAAAAAGCCTTTCAGGGGTGCTTCATAAGTGCTATACACTCTCTCTGCTGTCCTCGTACCCCCAAGAAGTTTTCTAATCTGTAGTCTACATGTGAACTAATTGAACTTATTAGGCAAGAGGTCAAGGTCGAACAGCTGCCTTCAAAGGTCGTCTGAACCACTGTTAGATGGATTCATCCTCCTTCCTAAACTCCCCAGAGAAAACAATCCCTACCCACCCCCTCATGCCTTCACAGCTGGAAATTAGGAAACAAGTCTCATAATTCCTATGAGTGAGCTGACCCCATGGGTAACATGAGCTGAGCTACAAAAATGTTCTTGCCCTTTGCACCAGTATTCATTCTGGATGGGAAATAAAACACAAGGAGAGGTGGGGGGGGGGGGGGATCTAAAAGACTAAAGAAAGTTATTTTCGCAGAGATGGCCATAGAAATGGAATTATTAATTACAGAACACCTAGAAGCAATCCAGCTTTACAACCGAGTGACAGAGGATTGTTAAGGTGGCAGATACCACATGGAACTTAACAATGACACGGTTCATTGGTTTATGTTCATTTAAAATGCATGATCTCACTCATTTATGGACTATAATGAACAACATAAACTGATGAACAAAAACAGATCCAGAGACAGAGAAGCATCGATCAGACTGTCAAACCTCAGAGGGAAGGTAGGGGAGGTTGGGGGTAAGGGGGAGAGATCAACCAAAGGGCTTATATGCAAGCATATAGGCCTAATCAATGAACACAGACAACAGGGGCGTGAGGGCATGAGTGGGGGGGAGGGGTAATGTGGGGATAAGGACACATATGTAATAACTTAATAAATAAAAAAAGAAATTAAAAAAAGAAAGAGAAAAAATAAAAATAAATAAAAATAAAATAAATGCAGCCAAGCCATGGCTCAATTGGCTAGGCATCATCCCATGCACCAAAAGGTTGCAGTCTCGATCCCTGGTGGGGAGCGTGCAGGAGGCAGCCAATCAATGTTTCTCTCTCACATCAGTGATTCTCTCTCTCTTTCCCTCTCCCTTCCTCTCTCTTTAAAAATCAATTTAAAATCTTTTTTTAAAAAGTGTTTTAGATTATAAATGGTTTAGTGACTGCATCATGGTTTTATTTAAAAAATAATTAAATAAATGCAAACTGTAAAAGCAGAACATTTTAATTTCAGAATAGCATTTGAATGAGAAAGTCTCACCTATGCCATCTTATTTTTTTCCTTTCCTTTAAAGAATTTAAAATCAATTCGTTTTTGATGAGGTAATTCTTGCACATGGTAAAAATTCAGGCACATAATACATTAAGGTCTAAAAATCTAAGCAATATGGAAAGCAATATGCAAAGAAAAGCAATATGCAAAGAAGCAGCCACCCAGTAACCCATGGCAATCTTTTAAGAATGTGGGTTTGTCAATTTACTAACCTCAGAAGGGAACATGGAGAGAAGTAACTTGCTTTACAGTGATTCGGATCTATTTTTTTGGTTTTGTTTTCCCCTGCAAGGCCAAAGAAAGCAAAGGTTCAAAAGTGAAGAAACCCAGAGCAGAAAATCCACACCATTTCTCTAAGACGTAGCTCAGCGCTTCTTGGCTGGGGCTGTCTTTCAAGTCTAGCCCAGATCCCTCCTGCTGTAATCTGTGAAGGAAGCAGCTAAATCAGGGTGGAGAAATCTGGCAAAGAAAACCATGTGAGAGAAAATCGACTGCCTTCTTACCTGTTCCCACACCAGGATGCAATCTTCGAGCGTTTTGCTGTCGGATTTAAAGGACTCCAGGGCCCAGAGCAGGTACCTAGCGGCTAGGGGCAGTGGGAGCCAGGTGGGAGCAGCTCTGGCTTCCCCCAGCCCACGATCCAGGCTTCCCGGCTGATGGGAAGGGCCAGAAAGCAGGCCAGTACAACGCGATTCAGAAACTGAAGCCAACAAGGGTGGGGCAGACCACGTGTCCCCAGCCTGCCTTAGAATTTGGAGTAGGAGGGGGCCACAACCCCACAGAATCAATTGGGAACTATTCGGACCGAAGGCATCTGTTAAGATAAATGGTGGGAGTCCCCATTTGGGTCGTTTAAAGGGGCCACCCCAGCTCCTCTCCAGAACACAATCGCTTTAACCAAAAAAATCTTCTTGCAAAACTTAATAAAACTGGGTGATGTGGTAGTAACCGGAGTGCATGTAAGGCAGGGGTGGGGAACGTCGGGCCTGTGGGCTCTATAAGGACCACGAAATCATTTGGTCTGGCCCTGCCAAGGCACTGGGGGTGAGTTCATGAAAAGTTTACCCAAATAGAGGAGGCTAATTTTAAACTTGATCATTTTGTATGGCCCTCGAATGATGTTATAAATATCCCAATGGCCCTTGGCAGAAAAAAGGTTCCCCATCCCTGATGTAGGGGCATGAATATTAGACAGAGAAAAGGTCTTTGATAGATATCAGTGTTGAGGACCAATCAATGACCCAGTTTATACAGAGACAGGAGCCCAGAGAGATCACATATCGAAGCCAAGATCACACAGCCCACGTGACTCAGAGCCTTTCCTGGTGTAGCATGTGGTCCTTCAGAAGACCGGCCCTTTGCTCAGGACATCTCCCAGGACAAGGGCACGCTCACTTTGCCTGGGTCAGAGCGAGGGCTGAGAACGGCTCTCCCCAGAATTCTGTGGGCACCCAAGAGGCAGCTCCATCCTCTCCTAATTTTCATAGCAAGCTCTCTGACTTCCTCAAGACTATATTTGGCCCTGGCTGGTGTGGCTTGGTTGGTTGGGTATTGTCCTGTGCACCTAAAGGGTGCAGGCTCATGTCGATGTCTCTCTCTCCCCTCTCCCTTCCTCTCTCTCTCTAAAAATCAGTTTTTGTGGAAAAGAAGTCGTATTTGGAATTATGGAAGGGCCATACCCCCAAGGGATCCTTTAGCTCCCCATTAGTAGACATTGCATGTCGGGGGGCAGGGGAAGGGCTGTGTTCCAAGCATCAAACTATCTGACAAGACAGTTCGCAGTGTTTCCCTGAGTGCGAGCAGAGCCCTTTAAGGGCCCCTGATTAACATCTAGGATTCCACAGCACCTAGTCCGGGAAACGCGCGACTAGAGGACATTAGCATATCTTACTCTCAATGCCAATGCCTGGCACAAGTAGTTGTTCAAGAAATGGTTTCTCAATTGGATTGACAAAGCTGGATTCCTGGTTTGGCCCTGCACTTCCAGCAGGACGATAATGCCCACACAGGAATGCACTGGGCTAATTCCCCACCCCCACCCCCGTCCCCAAGGCAGTGGCTATACTCGCCACACCCTCTGCAAGGCCTTGCTGCAGAGCTCTGCCAAGTTGCTTCATACCAGTCCGGGCAGCCCGTGGGAGGGCACGAGGGGGGCAAGTTGATGGGGGAACAGTCATAGGATCTCACTGGGGCCTCAGAGAAGCCTCAACAAACTCTCCTGTGCCTTCTCTGAGGCCTCTTGGCTTGAAATGATGCCGATTTCTTTTAAAGCATTGCATCTAGGACTGCAGTTCAAGATGGAGGTGGCTCCGCATCCCCCCAGGCTTCTGCACCCAAGTTCAGTGGCCACGCTTCCTGTTACCATGACCTTGGACCATGTCTTATTCTTCCCATTTTACAGACAGGAAACTGAGTCCTTGCTTAGAGATTGGTGAAGCCAGGTCATCTGACTCTATCCAGGGCTCTTTCTATGGCCTTCACTCCTACTGACATTTGGCAGACAGGATCTTGTTTCTGATTGGCCTTTCTCCGGGTGCAGCATCAGCTTCTTAAAGGCAAGAGAGTCCCCTGTGTGCCTGTGAACAGCATTGGGCTCTAATAAACCGTAGTAAATGCTAATACTTCTGATTATTGTCACTAGCGTATACACCACACTTATGCGGGGCCCAAATTAACTTGTGAACTTGGCCCAAATGACCTAGTCAGAGGCAACTCTCATTCCCTGAGATCTTGTTTGCATCAAAGAAGGGAGCACAGCACGCTCTGCTGGGTGGGCTTGTGCATTGAAAATCCCATGACCAGGTTCAGTGAGCTGACAGCAGCCCCGCTTGGCTCACTTTCCCAGAGCATTTCCAGGGAGCCAAAGCAGACAACCGCCTCTGCTCTCCTGTTGCTTCTACTATCCTAAGCCCTTCCTTTGCTTCATTGTCCCCAACTTTAATAAACATACTTTCAAAATGAAAAATAAAAATCTTTTGCCCTAGCTGGTTTGGCTCAGTGGATAGAGGTCAGCCTGTGGACTGAAAGGTCCCAGGTTCGATTCTGGTCAAAGGCACATGCCCAGGTTGCAGGCTCATCCCCAGTAGGGGGTGTGCAGGAAGCAGTCGATCAATGATTCTCTCTCATCATTGATGTTTCAACCTCTCTCTCCCTCTCCCTTCCTGTCTGAAATCAATTAAAAATATATATATTTTTTAAAAAATGTTTTGATGATCAGGTTCTGTAAGGAAGAATTAGTAGTGGGGAACTGAGATGAGTTTGCCCCTAGGATTTCAACCCAACCTGACTGGGTACTAAGAGAGCTGCTGAACTTGGGTGTGGCTGGGGGTGGGGTGAGGGACAGGGGCCTTTAGCTAGTTCCAGCCTTTTGTCCTCAAACTGGAAATTCCAAACTGGATTTTCGGGGGCTTCATTTTGAATAAGAAGCCATGTTCCCTCAATCCCTACCATACCTGGTGATTTCCAGATCTGACCATTATCAGCAGATTGTGAAATAACACAGACGGCCAGCAGATTGAGTAATCTGGGGCAGAATGCAGGAATCTGACCAATTCAGATAACCCTAATGCCCAGCTGGGGTTTAAAACCCCTGAATGGGTTCCTGCAGTCTACCTACCCTCCACTTTATTTTGATTTAGGACCTTCTGATTTTCCCTGGGAGTCCCAAGATTGTGCCTGTTTTATCTGAGGAGACCAGACATGAGCCTGAGGCTCTTCTGAATTTGAGGCCAATTTCTCTGGTAGAATCACCTCACTGTCAGCCTCAGATGGACAGAAACGGCAAGGTTATAAAAAACTCTCCTCTAGCTTCCGGGTGCAGAGCAGACTTGTGAGGAGGTGGCACATTGTAGGTGCTCAGTCCATCCTGCTGGAATAAATGAATTCAGCAGCACTTCTAGAACAGCAGTTCTCAACCTTCCTAATGCCGGGACCCTTTAATACAGTTCCTCATGTTGTGGTGACCCCAACCATAAAATTATTTTCGTTGCTACTTCATAACTGTAATTTTGCTACTGTTATGAATTGTAATGTAAATATCTGATATGCAGGATGTATTTTCATTGTTACAAATTGAACATAACTAAAGCATAGTGATTAATCACAAAAACAATATGTAATTATATATGTGTTTTCTGATGGTCTTAGGCGACCCTTGTGAAAGGTTGAGAACCGCTGTTCTAGAGGGTTAGGTGTATCTCCCGACGTTGGCTTTCTTTTTTAAAAAGTATATATTGTTATTTATTTCAGAGAGGAAGGGAGAGGGAGAGATAGAAACATTAAAGAGAATCATTGATTGGTTGCCTCTTGCACACCCTCTACTGGGGATCAAGCCCACAACCCGGGCATGTGCCCTGAGAATCTAACCGCAACCTCCTGGTTCAGGGTCGATGCTCAACCATTGAGCCACGCTGGCCAGGCCTGACGTTGGCTTTCAAAGCTTCCATAGAAACAATTCTTGGTTGGGCTGGTCCAGACTGAAGGGGATTCTTCTTACTGCTGTGTCACTCCAACTTCATACAAGCCCCACACCCTGGGCTGTCAGATCCCCAGATGTAAATAAGTCAGCCACCAACATGGAGGTGTTCACTGAGTCACGCCAACTCCCCCCCTCCCCCTCATGTAGCCCAGGGTAAGCCTCTGTCCCCCTCCTTTGATTTCAGCAGCAGAAATGGTTCTTCTGAGCTCTGGATATAGTCCTTGACTATATTTTAAGGGTACAACAACTTAAAATATTCACATACAATATTCCATATGTAAATGAGCAAGTAGGAGGATTCATGCAAGCACCCGTCATTTCTATTTTGGAAAGGAATAGAATTTAGAAATTAACAAAAAATTGAGAGCTAGGCTGATCCCATCTGAAGAATGCTCCCAACATTTCTGGCTTCCCACTAACAAGAAACTTCAGAGAGGCCACAGTCATGGGAGCAGCATGCATCCGGAGGCCAGTGCTCTCCCAGTGAGCCGGTGAACCCCCAAGAGCCTTTCCGGCCCAAGCAGCTGTCTTTCTAGAGATACATTAAAAAAAAAAACCAACATTCCATCCACAGTCCAACTCGAACCCCCCTCCCCCAAAGGAATGCTGTTCTTGGCAAGAGATCTTCCAAAGGAAACAACATCTGTGGAACCTTCATCCGTGAGGTCAGGGAAAAGCTGAGGCAGCGAAAACCTTCTCAGTCCTTCATTCGACCCAAGTTGCGGGCCCTCAACAGAGAAGCAGGATGGGAGCCATCCTAACAACCTAGCACCAATGCCTGTGTCTCGATATTACCCCTTCTGAGTTCCATGGCAGCTTCTGGTGTTTTGCAAGGCTGGACAATACCCTGTTAACCGGGTTACTCAACTAAACCAAAGGAGTTGATTAGATCCCCTTAATACCTACACAGGTAGGATTTGTAATTTAGCCTCATTCTCAATCACTAAATATTTATGATGCACCTTTTGTAGGTCCTGGGGCAACAGCCATGAACTAGACAAAATTCCTGCTCTCAATACAGTCAAGCCTAATTCCTTGTGCCTGTGGTCCAGAAATTCCACTTGCCAGAGTCTTCTCTCTTGACGAGAACAAGCAAACTCATGGACAGATATGGAGAGGAAGCTCAATGGTGACAACTCCCAGATATGACATCTAAAGCACATGCAACAAAATAAAAAAATAGACAAGTGAGACTACATCAAACTAAAAAGCTGCACA